GATGAAGATCTGACGGACGACACGCTGAAATCAAAGCCAATAAAAAGGCTGTTTTGCAAGTAAGTTCTCTAATAGACATGGTTGAATTGTCACCCAAGGAAACAATAAATTCTAACGAAGGAATAATATCAATAGCGTCATCTGACTTTGAAGTAGGAGGTTTATCGATCCGAATAGCTTGCATAGCTTTTAAAATGTCTGGGTGAGTTCCAATTGAGAAATTATCAATTCGTTCGTGGATTTCACTAATGGCTGATCTATAGCCAGCGATAGTATTATATGATTTTCCAAATGTCAACATGTCGGAAAAAAATTCACAAATCTTATTTATAGGGCAAGTAACAGGATCGACGTGTTGTGAGTCACACCAATGTTCCCATACTCGAATAGCTGAAGACACTGTTCTTGAAGATCTATTATCCACTGACGATGAGAGTAAGTTAATAGTTTTATCCGAAAATTTTTCCACTAAAATCCACATGGAAATCCACATCAAATATTGTGGAAATATGTTAATCTGAATGGTTCCAAGATTTTCCAAATACCCTGTGACAAAACACCTAACCAGAAATGCCTTACCTAAAGATATATATTTTTAAATTAGGAACAACACATTAAATCATACTTATCGTCTCTTTGGCTTACCCTAATTGAATCCTGAGTTTCAATCGTGAAAATTGGCAAATTAACTACCTGACAATTCACAAGTTTTTGTAAACAAGATTTAACATCCATATCTAGATTAGAAAATGTATTTATAATCACTAAATGTCCAAATGTCCATTTAGATCTGACAAAAAATTTCCTTGATTAGCGAAATAATCGTAAAGACTCGTGATATTGTTGATAAAATAAACATGCTTCCATTGAACAACTTCTTCTCGTTCTAAAGCTGATCGCTCAGCTCTCATAATCCCTTGCAATTAAACATTTCTTGCATTACTCTAAAATTTTATTATTATCCGCTTCAGGATTATTCATTATGATATCGATAATTAAGCTTTGTAAAGTTTTATCATTTAATCCAATGAATAAATCCTTCCAGGTGAATCCATAAGTTATCCAATCACTTAGATTTTCAACAATTAGGGATAATGGATCAGCTAATTCTTATTCATAACAAGGTTAAATTGCAAAACATAATTAGTATGATAATATTCTTAAAATTAATTTTATCAAAATTATTAATAATATCGGACAATTCTCTGATATACCACTATTAAATTGTTGTTCATTTGATAAAACTAGATTTTCTGTTGTTATACTTGAATTTGTGATCATTGCTTTTAATTTAGTAATTACTTGGTTCATATCTGGTCTCACCATTTCCAACATTCTAAAAAAATGTTATGCATTAAAATAAGACTTGAAATTATAATAATATAATAAATACTATTATATTTACCTTAGAATAATCAAGGGGGGTATCCGGAACAATTGTTTTCTTATATCCCCGCAAAATTTGCAAAACCAAACTAGTATCATATGATTCATCCTCAAATGGCAAATGACCGTTTGATATTTCCACAAAAGAACTCTAACGCTAACACTTTTTATTTAAAGAATATTTCGGATTACTCAACTTTTTTGGATTAATAAGGAGTCACGCCAAACAAAGTTTGTTGTGTTGAGTATATTTTAGATATTGCTTCTATTTTCTTTGATAATCCAAAATCAAATAATTTAATGTTATTTTGATGAATTAATATGTTGGCAGAATGGCTATTATGAAATAAAGAAATTTTAAATTAATATAATTTATTAAAATAAATTAATATAGTAACTTATTAAATAACTTACCAAATCGCAATGTATTATTTCTTCATCATGTAAGAATAATATGGCGCAAGCTAATTGATATGCAAATTTATATTTATTTTCCCAAGTAATATTTTGTTTTCTTCAAGTATGTACGAAGAGTACGCATACTCCATTACTAATAAATATTTCTTAATTGTCCCTTTTGATTTTCTGTAATAAAAATTTATAGTTAATTTTACTAATGCATTTTTACAAATTCAAGTAATAATTAATACAGTATTTCTATTACCTTTATATGTAATTCCAAAAAAAACTAATAATATTGTTATCAAATTGAACTTAACGATGAATTTCTAATTATAGACGTATTGGTATGTAAATTAATTCAGATTGAGGTAAATATAAATATCATATTTTTTTGTAATTACCTCTTTAACGACATCTTTTATAGTATTATTATCAAGGTTAGATAAAGATTTTAATGCAAAATATTGTTCGGAATTTTTCCAATTTGCACGATAAACTTTTCCAAAATTACCTTTTCTATATTACGAAAATCTTTGTATTCGTAATGTCTAATATGCCTTTCCGAAATGGCTTCTTCGGCCCATACATTTGAATTGTAGGTGGTTTGCATGTTAATGGCTATTTTTAAAAAATAATTTTAGCTATTTATAATAAAGTGGCGTTACGACATTCAGCAGATCGGCAGATATGCACAGTTAAGTCCGAAGTATTGTAAAGGCTAGTGAATTTATTAATTGTGGGACGCAGTATTATATGTAGTTTAAGTGTATAAAAATTTGAATTGTTTTAAATGTACTGCGTCTGTAATGACGTAAAACTATTCTAGAAATTACTTTGATTTCATTAATAATTTATTTATAAGGGACACGAATTTTGAAATTTTATTTTGATTAGTGATTTAGTGGGAGGACATAATTAGAATTCAGTGTAAGGTAAAAAAGGTATAAATAGGGGATCCATACGATTACCAGAAGACCACTTTTATTATCAAATTTACCAAGTTTTTATTTTTAATTAATCGATTCTTTTTGCTTTTTCTTATGATGAAAAAGTGCCACGTCAATTATTTTAATTGATAGTTTATTAGAAATATTAATAAGGGGAAATTATCGTCAGTTTGATTTAAAGAATTGACTTATAAGAAAATAAATTAGAAATAATTAAATTAGAATTTATTAATGTCATTTTATCATATGACTCGGATATATTAATATTTTATTGCATTTAATAAAGGATTATTTTTGTGCAAACGTGATTATCACGGGCACTAGATCTACAATGTATTATGGCTGTATAATGTATATCAGTATATCGTCAGACGTCACGTGCCGGACGGAATTAAAAATTTTCCTCTATTCTGCGAACTTTTCCTACGATAACATTATTTATGAAGGTAGTTTAGTAGCCTTTCTTTTAGGATTAATCTCTAAGATTACTGTTTCTTTTTTTTTAAAAAAAAAAAAAATAATAATCCCTTAAGTTCTTTTTCCACTGATTTTTTTTTATTTCGGTATTATAAGACAAGCATATTACTCGAAAATAAAGGTTACACAATATAAATTGCAAGAACACAAATTTTGTCATAATTAAAATAATAAATTCAATCAAGTTATCTAGTATACTAATATAAATTATTAGTAAGAATCATTTAGTTTAATTATTAAATTATCTAAATCATAATAAATATACAAGTTAAACGCAACCAGTTAATAAAACATTATAATTTATTTTATAAATACGTAGTTAAAATTTACTAAATAAAACACTTGGTAAAATTTATTTAGATTTTCTCTATCAAACTTTTGACGAAATAAAAAATTCTTTGAAAATTTAATAATTGAATATGCCCACTTTTTACATCAAAATATCACGATATGATGTTATATCAGATATAACAGAATAATTAACAAGTAAATCATTCAGAAATTATTTAATGTAACTGTCAACTTTCTATTAACTTACGTGGTTCATCTTTTAATTTATTTTGTATCCTTCAAATTTCATTAGTTACATTCCAGACCTAAAAAAACTATAAATAAAATTGAATTTAGTATTTTTACCCAAAAATAGTTTAATAAGATTTAAATATAATAAATTATTTTTCCTTGTTCGGTAAAAGTGTTTCTAATCAAAACTTTTGTATTATATGAAATTATATGAACTTAATTTTAGTATTTGTTAAGTAATAATTTATATGTGCATATTTTAAAGTACAGTTATAAATAAATAAGATATTATATCATGCATTAAACCTTCAACAATATTATTCCTAAAAGATGACTCATTTTATTTAACGGGTATAATTACGGTATCACGTGAAATATTAAACAGTTTACTTGTTACTTTTCATAAAATTGTGATGTATTAAGAACTTGCAGGTATTTACGGTATAACAACTGTATTTACGCTAAGTTTATTATTCAATGGTGCAGTTTGAGTTAATTCTATAAAGATATGCAAAGATATTTTTTTTTATTCAAATAAAGTATCGATACCCAGTACATAGAATAGCAATTTAAGTACAAAGTACAATAAAAAGCCAAAACAAAGTACTAATTAAAAAGATAAACAAACCCAACAGAGCAGTCATACTTTACTGTGTCCATAAGGAAAAAAAAACATAAAAAAAGAAAGAGACCTGTTGCTAGACCTAACAGCAGTGGAACACAAGGGAAAAAAAAATAAATGTAAATAAGGAAAACTGAAACTATCTATTCCTAAAAATTACACCTTAATTAAAACAACTACGGAAAGAAAAAAAAATAATTGTCCTACAAAAAATAAAAAATAATCTAAAAAAAGAAAATTAGAAATAAATATAAAACTTTGTTTAGAGTTCCAAGCTATTTCTATAGTTTACTAAGTAACTTCATTAAAATCTTGACTAAAGATCACGTTATATCCAAGTTTCAGTTTGTTTGTGCCATTTGTTCTAAGCGCGAAGAAGATTTCATTGACTGTGTAGACTTCCGTGTCCCACTCAAGGAACTAGTGCTTGACTGTTGTGTCGTATTGTCTTTAGATTTCTTAAGGCTTTTATCCTTGGATTTGGTCTCTTATTTGTGGCATAACTGCCTAGGAGATTGTGATTTCTCTAATTAGAGAGACTGATGAATGACTTAACCAAACAGAATTATCAAGTACTTTATGTTAGTCAAAAAATAAAATCACTTTATGAACTCCTTGTACGATTCCAAGTCTTGACACAATGGAAGGAAAGTAGCCGGTCCTATCAAACTCGTGTTCCAGTAAATCCTTTTCTGAAGCGCCCTTCGGTAGCGAAAGCGTTGTTTGGTGATGCTCTCTGTCCTTACAGTCTTGGAGCATCCAATTACCAGAAAACCAGTGCATGTAGGCGTCCCCTAATTTTTGGACCCAGGTTCTCATAATATAATCTGTGTCCTGTACGGTATTAGGTACACCAATCGATACTTATACTGCGGGTTGAACGAAATTTCCAATAAGCGTCCCCAAGTTGATAATTCAGTTATGATTTTTTCATGGGTGATCATGTAATGACGTTATTGGACATGATGATGTGGGTCCAATCAGGTAAGGCAGCTGATCCATAGAACGCACTAGAAAGTGATAGATATGCAAAGATGATTACAACCAAGAGACATAATTTACTTTGTATTATTCTATCATATATAAACTGAGTTCCGATGATCATTGGTCTTTTATAATAATCTCATTCGCAATCATATTTCATAAAAAATCTCTTCTACCAACCTGATTCGATTATAAAAATAAGTTATCAATCCATAAATTTTTAATTTGGTAGCTGAATCTTGTTGGCTTTTTTACTTTATATAATTATATTTATAAAAATGGTTTAATTTAATGTCAAAATTTATTTGATTTCTATAAACAAAATTTTTACATGGCGCTTTAATCATCAATTTAATTAATAGGTAAAACTAATAATATATTACAAAGTCTTTTTAAATGTTTCTAATTCATTTCGAGGTTAATAATCTCCTTGTTCTGTAAGATTTTAAAATGAATAAATTGCTTGATCTACAGTATATATTTTTTCTGTTTTACTCTATATTATAAATTTATCAAGCTACTCTATTTCTAAATTTACTACCTTAAAATAATTCAAATGTCTTTCTTTACTAATAGTATCAGTTTTGATTTCATTTCCATAACAAATATACTAAGTTGTATATTCTATCTGTATTTCCAAATCTACAAGTTTTTTTATAATTTAAATTCCTCTTCTACCAATTCCATTTTGATAACAATATTCTAACTTATTTATTCCAAATGTATTTCATAAATCTGCCGCCTTTTGATATAATTCAAATGCTTTTTCATCAATTTAATTCTAATTCCATTTTTATAACAATACCTTATCTAACCTACATATTCCGAATGAATGCTTTTCTCTTATTAATGTCAGTTCAAATTCATTCCATAATCACAGCAATATTCAAACCTATTTATTCCCAGATTCATTTCTTAAATCTGCAGCCTTTTGATGTAATTCAACTGCCTTTTTTTCATCAATATTAGTTCCAATTCCACATCGATAACAATTTCCTAAATAAACTATACCAGATATATTCCCTAATTCTGCTGCCTTTTGATATAATTCAAATGCCTTTTTTCTATCAATTTCAGTACCAATTCCATGTTGATAACAAAATCCTAAATGATTTATTCCAGATGCATTTCCTAAATCTGCTGCCTCTTGATATAATTCAAATGCTTTTTTTTCATCAACATCAGTTCCAATTCCATTTTCATAAAAACGTCCTAAATTATACATTCCATTAGCATTTCCTAAATCTGCAGCCTTTTGATATAATTCAAATGCTCTTCTCTTATCAATATTAGTTCTAATTCCATTTTCATAAAAACGTCCCAAATTATACATTCCATTAGCATTTCCTAAATCTGCTGCTCTTTTATATAATTTAAATGCTTTTATTTTATAAATATCGGTTCCAATTCCAAAGTAATTAAAATCTCCAAACAGAATAATAGAATTTGGATTATTCTGATCATCCACTAACCAATTATAAATTTCTATTAAAGTCACATTATGATTATCAAGATAATTAAGAATTTCCTGTTTTTCTGCGTCATCCCTTGTATTATTAGGGAGATTAAGTATTTCATCGACCATTATGCTGAAATTATTATGATTATTATTTAATGCCTTTAACCCATCAACTATCAGTTTGATGGTTGGACGATTATCTGGCTCTCCATTCCAACATTCTAAAAAAAATTGATTTTTATCTGATTAAAATAATGATAAATTTAGTAGCATTTGATAATAATACATACCAGTATAAAGATTAACATAAGCAGTAGGTGTGTCAGAAACAGGTGTTTCTCTAAGACCTTGTGGAATTTGTACAATTAAACCATAACGTGTCATTCCTTCAAAAGGCGGCTGACCACTTGATATCTCCCACAGAAGTACACCAATACTATAAACATCACTTTTTTTATTTAAAGAATATGGTTGTGTATTAAATTTCTTTGGATCAATATATGGAACTACACCAAGTAAATTTGATCGCGTCCTATATTCTTCATATGCTTCATCAATTCTTTTTGATAGCCCAAAATCAGCCAACTTTATGGTATTTCGATTATTTCGATGATGGACTAATACGTTTTTAGAGTGCTAAATATACATTAAATAAATCAATTAAATTAATATATATGATACAAAATAAAATAATAAAATGTAAATGAATTACCAGATCACGATGAACGATTCCTTCATCATGGAGGCATAATACAGCATGAGCCAGCTGAAGTGCCATATTAAATTTATCACCCCAAGTAAGATTATTAAAATGTTTCCTCAAAAACTCTTTAAGAGTACCATTATTAGCATATTCCATTACTAACCAATAATTTTTTGAATTATCATTATTACCGTTTTGATATTCTGTAAAAAAAATCATTTAACGTTAACATAAATTTTTACAAAGTGACGTTACACAAATAAAATGATGATCATACCTGTCGTAACACCAAAAAAACGAATAATATTCTCATGGAAATCTACTTCACGCTGAAGTTTAAGCTAAATCATGAATATAATATTAAAATTTTAGAATTATAATAATAAAGATATGCACTTTTTTATGTTTGTTATTACCTCATTAACAATTTCTTTAATTGTTACATCGTTTAAATTAAAAAAGGATTTCAAAGCTAAAAAATTATGATAATTTTTCCAGTTCGCACGATAAACTTTTCCGAAGCTTCCCGAACCAATTTCTTTAATATTGTTAAAATTTTCAAATTCGTAATATTTAATATGTCTTTTACCGATAGCTTCTTCAATCCAATTAATATCCTCATCATATGAAACTCCAGTAACTGCGGTAGATTCAGACATTGTTAAATTTGAATTTTTTTTTTTTGAAAGTTGAATGGACGGCTGGTCGGCTGACGGCTGACGGCTGGTTCTATTAAACGTCGTGATTACGCATACGCATTAAAGTGTCAATCGTGTTACAGCTGGTATTACTAGGCCGTAATTATGCATGAATGTAATTCGTCGATCATTTCTCGGCGATCACCGTGATGATAAAACTTCGTACAGGTTTAATAATGGAAATAACTGACTTGGTAAATCGTATATTTTTTTTTGTTTAATTTTATAATAATTTAAAATTAATATTACGAATAATGACTACATTTCTCTAAAATCAGAGCATCCGAAAAATTTCGGAATTAGGGCAGCATTACTCCGCAGTGTCAATCATTTATAATTGCAGGATGTTTCTAAAAACCAGGCAAGATTAAATTTTCAAATATTTTGGTAATTGATAAATAAGTTCAGCTTATTGTAAGATAAATAAATAAACTTATTTTGCTTGATAAAAAAGAGATTACTTGTAAAAATTTAGTCATCAAATAATTAATTACTTGACTAATTCTCTAGTGTCTGTAAACGTGACATTACACACATTCAATCCTCAAATACTGTATGTAGGAAATTTTATTCATATATCGTAAGTTAGGCCATCTAATTTAACTTATCCACATTCCTATTTATAAAAGTTCTTACTAATAATAGGATAAAAATTCTGTTCATTAGTTAAATTCCACGTGGTTTGATCATCCGATAAAAGTCCGATCACGTGACTACGCGAAACGAAGAAAAAAAAGTTTTTCTTAAAAAAAAAAATTTACAGCACTTGCAACGATAAAAATTTTCACAAACCAATTGTATCATTAAAACTATAAACTATTCCTACGTATAACATAAAAGCAACCCAAATTAAGTTATAAAATAATTAAATTATAAATATTATAGCTAATTAATAAATTACTCAATTCAAAGTTAATATCTAAGTTTCCTGTTATTCAATTTAAATAAATTTTGATTTTTTTGAAAGAGTAAATGAGTCTTACTCTAAAAACTATAAAATCATTATGATCTAATATGTCTATCTATATCTATAATTATTTAAAGATACACGACCTTATTATTATATAAGTATTATATAAGTGATATAAAACATACAGTTCAGCTATAATAAAATAAATAAATTAATTATTACCAATTTTTAATTTTCATGCAATTAATTAATTAATGAAAACTCATGCTTTTAAGTGTTACTTTTTAAATTAAGACAGTAAACTTAACATAAAAATATATCTACTGTTTTGCTAGTAAAAGACTTCATACAGTGTCTTAGCTTCTTGTTATAAGACACTTGAAATCGACGCACAAGTAGCTAAAGATTAAGAAAAACATAGTTATTGCACGTTAATTAGTAACGTTCAACGGTATTTAATAGTATATATAGATCTGCAAAATGATCGAGCAAATTTATTGGCTGGTCAAGGTTGCCAATGGACTAGATTATTTCAGAGCAATGTATCAAATTAACAATTGTTTTATAGGATAAGATAAATAATTTTATAATACATCCACTTGAGAAGATCTGATTGACTGATTAACTGTTTAAAAAATTTTTTGTAATTGAATCACAACTGATTAGTCAATTCTTGAATAATATTATGATTGTATTAATAAAGCTATCACAACATAGAATGTAGATTAGTGGCTCTCATAGCTCTCTGTAATATAATAGTACAATAATTATAGCTCACTAGATTACAAAATTAATTATTTATAATAATAAAGTGACATTAAATAACTTCGGTTTAAGATATGACAAACATTATGAAAGTAGAGTTCCATTTCATCAACGTTTAAAATTCGGATATCTGTCATCCGTTGATGGATCAGATGAGGAATCGAACTCAGCAGATCTGGGCCCATATGATAGTGAAAATAAAAATTTATTTTTTTTGTTAGCATTCTTGCAAAGAGATTATGGCTTCGGCATAAAAAGAAAAGATATATTGTAGTTAGATGGACCATCTGACGAATGAATCGATTCGTTCGGATTCAGATTTTTCTTGACGGTCAGATCATGAAACACTATATAAAGGCAGTTTAATAACCCTTTTCTAGAAACAGTAATCTCTAAGATTTACTGATTTTTTTTTTGAAAAATATTTCATTTTCATTTTTCCCTCTAACTTTTTTTTTCAATTGGTTTTTCTTTAGATTTACATTCAATTTTGAGTTTCAATAAAATGATATATTTCGATTAAAAGATGAGCATATTACACAGATGCACTCTAAATAAGGTTACACAATATATTGTAAGAACCAAATTTTTATCATAAATTTAACGCAAAATACTAGTATAGAAATCATTTAAATCATAGATAAATATACAAGTTAGATCAACATCAACAATTTTTTTTATGGTGAAACTTATTTAGCCTTTTTAGTCCGAGGTGTAATGAAGGACTAGGTTTCACAAATGTCCTGTTGTCCGTCCGGCACAATGATAACTGCGCTTCGAACTTGATAACAGTTTCCGTTTCCTAAGTGTTTGACAATCTTTTAATGTGTGTTTCAAAAATGTTTCTATACGTTAATTAAATAACCAAAAATAAAATAAAATAAAAATATCTGTATGTGAACTTAAAATTTAATATTTGCTAATTTCGCGATATGATTTTTGAATTATTTTGCATGTAGTACATTTATATTTTACTATTTAAGGTTTTACAAAGTTTACTATCTCGTCTCGAAATAACCTAAATTAAAAGAAAATAAATAAACAAGATATATAATAAATGTGTAAATATTCATCGACTTTCAAATATTATTCCTAAAAAAATGACATATTTTATTTATCAATATAGTTAGATCATTAAAAGGTCTACTCGTTACTCTTTTTTACTTATCACTTGAATAATAAAAAAGAGAGAAAGTGTTTTTATAAACTATAGTGTATTAAGAAGGGTCATGTAAATATTTGGAAAGAATATTTAACCAATAAAGTAAAAAAATACTTTTTAACTACAAGAAAATTATTAAAAATTCAAAATATAAACTAATATAAAGTATACAAGTCAATCTGAAATATTCTTTTTTAACTGTAACGCATCTTTATTAGGATTTAATGATCAAAGGAACTATCCTAAGATACAAGATACTTAGAGCCAACCGTGCTAAACACGTGTCAACCCTATAACAGAGTAATTCTATCTAAAGACACATTACAAAAACAAAATTATAAATAAATACTATACCTGAAAAAAAAAATAAAATAAAACTAGCAAACTACCTATTTATGAAACCTAACTAATTAAATTTCACTTTAATAAATGTAGGAGAAAAGAGTGAAATATGTAATAATTCTAGGTCTGCTAAAAGCAGTTTCAAACGATGAGTCCCAACGGCCTCACACCCAAACAATTTATTCCACCAAATCCTCCTTATTCCTACAAAAAATAAAAGTTAGTATTCTAATCTAAATTCCACAACGCTGAAATGAGCTGCATTTTTGTTATCTTTGTTATCAGTTATCGGAATATTTTTTACGTGTATCACGTGACTTCGATTAAAAATGCAATTCGTTTCCTCTTCGTGGTTTCTTCTTTCTTCTCTACTGTTTCTTCTTGTTGCTCTTTTTCTTCTTCTTTTTTCCTTTTTTCTTCTGTGATGGTGATGCTTTGGGTTCTTCTTCATCTTCGTCTTCTTCTGTGTCTTCATTAATTTCTGGCGAAAAAGATAGGAGTAGTTCTCGTTACCTTCGTTCCAAATATTGTGCCTTGAAAGCTTTGGTCCTCTCTTCTTCGTCCTCTATCTCGCTCCATTTGCTTGGCGATTCTATTTTTCGCCAATCTTCTTTTCATCTAATCTGAAATATTCTATATTATACGGTAGCAAAAATTAATTAGGGATTCTTAACTGATATACTAGTTTAGTCTGTTCAATCGTTATATTAGTTTTAAAACTGGTCATATTTAAATAAAATGTTGACTTTTTCTGTTTACATCTCAATTTATAAATTTCAGAATATTTATTTCTATACTGATTTTCACCATGAAAACTACAATTTTCTTAATTTATATTCAAGTTTAACAATACGAAGAAAGTCCTACTTAGTATTTTAATCTGATTTTCCAGAATTACTTTAATTTCATTTTTTAATAACATCAGGAAGTTATATGAAGTGAATATTTGCGTAAAGCTGTCTATAATACCTGGAAATTTACACTCCGTATAAATCTATAATTTTGCATAATTTACATGAATTTTTCACGGATAGGTAGTTTCAAAGTTTTACATCTTGAAATAATTCCTTAAATATAAAAATACTTTATTGATTTTATATTATAGAAAGTTTCATAAATTCTACACAAATAGGTAGTTTCGAAATTTTACATCTTGAAATAATTTCTTAAATATATGATTTAAGTAATCTACATATCAACTATTTATGCAAAATCGGTAAATTTGCGATTGCAAATTTTATTTGACCGTGTTTTTATTTATTTTATTTATTTATTTATATTTAATTTATATATATATAGAACTTCTATCGTCATCTGTGAGATTCTTAAATATGATTGGCATAAAATGATTTCATTGATTTTGTATTCATAAATTCTACACAAATAGGTAGTAATTTCGAAGTTTTATGACTTGAATAATTTTTATTGCATTCACTTATAATTTGATTTGATTATCTTATAAATTTTATGCTTAATTATAGTTTCTATACGATATTTGTAATATTTTATTAGTTAATTACAATAACATTTGCAATGGTATTGTTATTATGAAAGATTACTCAAATTTTTGGGACAATTTCATATGGATAAGAATTATCCAAATTGAAGATATGCAAGTTCCAAAACCTGATGGATATAAGGATACAATATGTCAGCAAGGATGTTCTCGATATTGAATTTCCTTTTTCATTTTATTTTATTGACCAAATTGATGTAAATACAAAGTTTAAAAAAGTATTTACAAATAGTCTAATAAAATTTATATAATTTTTTTTTCTTTACTTTCAATCAATATTATTTTGTAACTGCGTTTATGGTGAGATAAGTGCTAACTTGTGGTTTTTAATAGTCATTATTAAATGATAACAAGATCCCAGAAGAAATGAAAGCAATACTATGGAGGAATCGAAGGTGAAAGATGATGATAGCATTGAAAATGATTCCAAAGAACCCTATGAAAAAAAATCATCCAATTTTTAATATTTGTTCAAGTCCGTGTGGAAATTGTACAATTATTGCAGATTTTTGGATAAAAATAGCTATGAAGTCTTTCAAAGCATATTAAAAGTATGCAATTTTTGTACAACTTAAATTTAGGATATAGAAAATGTTCAATTTTTGTGTGATCTTTATACAACTTAAATTTAGGATACAGAAAACATTCAATTTTTGTACAATAAAAATTGTGATTATTGTACAACTTGAAAATAGACTTAAATTTAGGATACAGAAAGCAATTTTTGGGTAATCCTACTATACTACTTTCCATCTTACCTGTATGGTTACATTTGACCACTTTTCAGGTCGAATAGACCACTTTTAACCATTACAAATAGATTTTCCTAAGTAAAGTGATTTATGCAGTAAGGTTACATAAAATTCAACTGCATATTGGCTTATAAATGGGCATCTTCTGGACCCATTGGTGAAATTTTTGTATCATCTTGTAACTAAAAAAAAGTCAAAAACTTTTTATTAGGTTACACAATTAGTTCTGACCGGAATTATAATTTGGCCAGAATTATGCGGTAAAAATCAACTCTTAAAATTATATATGTTGATCACGTGATCTGATCGTCAAAATAAATATGACGACGCGAAATGTTTTTGTTTATGTTTTTTTAACCTTTTAACTTTTCTTCAACTTTCTTTTAAAATATCAGGTAAGAAAAACTTGTGTTCTTTATCTTTTTATTTTCCTAACTTTTTACATTTTAATGTTACTAACTTGCTTTCTTCACTAACTTCATACTTTTTTTTTATTACTAACACTAATAATTTACTTTTTAACACACTAATTTGCTTTCTTCACTAACTTCATACTTTTTTATTACTAACACTAATAATTTACTTTTTAACACTACTAATTTGCTTTCTTCACTAACTTCATACTTTTTTATTTATTTAATACTAATAATTTACTTACACTAATAATTTACTTTCTTCTTTGATACTACTAATTTACTTTCATGTTATTAACATACTTTATTTTATTTTATTTTCTTACAAATTTTTATATTTATGATTATATCAAATTTAGTATTTTATTTATGAAATATTGTGTATATTTTTTATATTTTAAGTCAATAAAAATTCATAATTTCACTTTATAAATTGCCTGTTATTACTGTAAAATTTAACCTATAATTCCTAAAATATGGCCTAAAATTTGGCTCAAAAATCACACAATAATTGTATAAATTCAGGTCAAAAATAGGATAATTATTGAATGAATTGCCATGCAATAATTGTGTGATTTATTGCAATTTTTAGCACAATTATTGTATGGTCAAATATACAGAAATCGTAGTGAATTTAATTGAATAATTTTTCAACAAAAATCACACAGACTTTTTTCATAGGGGAAGAAAACTGATAATTGAAAACTTTTTTACTGATAGTTTTATTGGGATAGAATTACACTGTGTATATCTTTTTTTCGTGGGACTTTAGAATGGTAAATTTTGTAAACTTTGCAAAACTTAACCTTTTTCTTAATTTTGAGAAACGTATTAACGTTTTTCTTCGTATGCTCAAATATTTTGGCTCACTTCTGCTTTACTTATCACTTATTATCATATTATCTTATTTTTTATTTTATTAGAACACTTATATTAATTAACGCGTTATTATTAAATGGTGAGCTTTATTTTATGTTAGCTTTATTTTAAACGTGTAATTAATTATGTATTTATAATATAGATTGAATTTTCACAATACAAAAAAAAAAGAACTTTCTTATTAAATTTGATATATTGATAATAACGTTATTATTTACAATTAAAAAAATATGCTATTGCTAAAAAATAAATATAATTTTACTATTAAATTTATTACACGATTTTATACTATTGAAATAATTACACGATTTTTTATTGTTGAAGTTACACGATTTTATACTATTAAAATAAATTACATGATTTTTTATTGTTGAAGTTACACGATTTTATACTATTAAAATAAATTACATGATTTTTTACTACAATTGAAATAATTATACGATTTTTTTATTTTTAAAAAATTACGCCATTTTAAAATACAATTATTTTATACTATTGAAAATTCCTCTAAATTTTTCACACTCGTATATTGTTTATTGACACGACTCATGAGTGGTGTAGATTCATTGTTTTTTCACACGTGTAATATTTTATAGATCTACACTTATTTTATTCTCCTAATACTGATGATAATTCACAAAATAGCTTTTAAATATAAATGAAACAATGAGTGTCTTCATAAAAATATGATTGAGATTGGGATTGGGATTGAGATTGAGATCAGCTTGAGATTGGGATTAGTATTTCAACTTTAATTCACATGAAATTCAGATCAGGGTTATGGTAAATTCACGCAAGTTTATGCACGTTTATGCATAATTTTCATTTAGGATAATTTGTATTCAGTTGAAATTTGAAGTAGCTAAGCAAAGGCTTTACTCAGACAAGCTATTTCAATCTCAATCTTACTCATTGAGTAAGATTGAAAATTCATATATAATTGCAATCATGATTAGCTTGGGATTGAAATTAATCTAAATCACGTTTTTTGCCCAATTCCATAATTATTAATGAATGAGTGAAAGAGTTATGTATGTTATCTGACTTGGTAATATCTTTCATGCAATGTAGATATCTAATATTTGCAATTTATGTCAACAAAAATATAGTAATAAATCAGGAATCAGTACAATTAAAGGCATTTTGTTGTGATAAATCACAAAGATGAATGGGTGCAACAGAATATAAATACTGTAGGGCAAACCGGCGAAAGAGACATGAAAATAAAAAAATAGTGCACTTTAATTCTTTACTTTTCCAGTGAATATTATATGTGATCAACAATCATATTTATTTCCCGAACATTGGCCTTATCTTGTGGCGTGTATCCGGTCATAACAGTCGAAATAGTTTTCTCCGTACTGGGAGGTAAAATCCGCAATAATGGATTCCACTTGTCAACATGACACACGATTATCTGATAGTTCAAGCAGCAAGTATTCCAAGTGAACAAATGTATAATGTAGCAAAGTTTACAAGGTTCGTGCAGCTCTTTGTCTTAAAACTTGGTTCGTAACAGGGTTAATTAAAGAACTAAGATTTTTGAAGGATAATGATTTAACTAATGTATGAATAGACATCGATTGAAATAAATTGAGATAATTGCAGTATTATTTATAATAATAAATTACTCTAATGATATTGCTTTAATATATTATATTTGATAATTGAAAATTTTATTGCTTGTCGGCATCACATGATATAACCGGATCGTTCCAGAATCCAGATTGGGTTTCAGATATAAGTTTCGTTAAAAAGTTAGCTTTCAAACCAGTTTTTGAACCAAGGTTTTAGCTTCTGGTTAGGAATCTTGTTTAAGCACTTATAGACAAAAGCACTCGAAAAATAGTTACACAAGATTTAATTGCAAAACAAATTTAAATAATAAATTTGATAATATAAATTACTAGTAAGAAATACTAAATCATAAATAAATATAAAATTAAACTGCAGTCAGTTAAAGTTAAATAAAACATTATAATTTATTTTATGATTAAGTAGTTATTACTTACTAAATAAAACATTCAGTAAATTTTATTTTCTATTAAACTTATGATAAAATAAAATATTCTATGAAAATCCAACAATTGAACATTAAATGAGATCAATTCATTTAAATACGTCCATTTCTTTACATCAAAAGATCATGATCTGTTGCTATAACAGATATAACTAAATAATTAACATATAAATCATTCAGAAAAATAATTTAATGCAACTGTCAGTTTTCTATGAACTTTTGATATTTCATATTTTTTAATCAATTTTATATCTTTCAAAATTTTATTAATTATATTCCAGTCCTGAAAACATGATTAGTTAAATTGAATTTTAATATTTTTACTCAAA